CCTTCTCTTCACCCAAATCAATATTTATCTCTATCTATCTAACAGCATTCCCTCCCCTTCCCTCCCACCCCTGGTAACCAACAAAGAAAATGACAATGGACTCAAATTAATGACTTGTCGTGTGGTTTGGTAACATCGGGACTGTGTTTTGTTACTTGTCAACCTTGGCCTTGGTAGCCTCAGCAGACAGCAGCTGTCTGAGTGAAGAAAAGACTCCAGCTTCAGTGGGCCGGGAGCTGGAGGCAGAGCTGAAGCCCAAGGTTGAGGGGCTTTCACCCAGTCCCTAGAGCCTGGCACTTTGAACTTAGACTTAAAGCCTCCAAATTGTAAGAATAAACTCCTGTTTGTTAAGGCCATCCCATTTGTGGTACATTCCTGTCAGTGGCACTAGGTAATCAGAACACCATGCTAGTATTTGAAATACCAGAAGCATCCCTTCCTACATCACAGCAACACACAAGCCATCACAGTACAACAAACTGACAGGTGAGTGGTGGCTTGTGAGGGTAGACAGATATTAAAAATTAAGGTGGAAGGAAAATAAGTGTAATAATAGAACTACAGAGGATGTCTAGGAGGAAGAGCTTAATTTTACAGTATGCCATCCAGTATGAGCTATTTTGACAGTAGAGAATGAGCCCAAGTCTCTGTTTGCGAGTCTCCTAATATTCTTGACCATTTCTCCTAGACAGGGTACTCTTCTAGGAGTTAAAAAATTTCTGAAATGGAAAAGCTGTAGCTATTCAAATCTAGGATGAAACACAAAAAATGACAAAAATCCTTAAAAAACAACATAAAAAAAAATTAGAACTCTTGGCTATAAATTTACTTCACAATTCAAGACTGTAACAGTTAAATTTAGCATAGTTCTTTATCTTCATTTTCCTCCCTCAAAAATGATTTAAGAAATATTTAGTGTTTCTTAGCCATTTCCTCTTTCATATTTTGATGTTCCTCTGAAATGAACTTTAGTACTGGTTTTTCAGACCACTAGACAGTGTGGTCTGTGGTGGGTAGAAGAAATCACAAGTGTGGCCAACTTCTGGTAGAAACTGACTACTGTCAGTGATAGGGGATTTCTATGAAGTAACTGGATTGAATAAGGTTACATTTTTACTGATCTCTTCCTAAAGCATCATCTTCTGTAGCTCTGGCTAGCAATACCAGAAGGTAAACTATTTAGAAATATTATTTTACATGATGTAATCTTTTATAACAATATATTTAAAATTGTGAATTTAAAGAGGTTTTATATCCTAAAGCAAATGGCAGAACCTAAAACAAATGTTTTCTGCTACACATTTTCAGTAAGACAGTTAATACTGTAATGGCATAGCATAACATTTTTTAACCTCTTTACAAAGGAGTTAAAAAAAGCTATAGCTACACTAGGGAACAACAAACCTAAAGTTTCTTTATAGATGCAGTGTCACTAGGCTATCAAGGACCTCCCAACACATTTAGGAACTTTGTTTCCTTAAGATAAACTTTTGTTACATTTTACTCAGTAGAAAATCACTCATTACTTTGATTTCTGTATTTAAACAGAAAAAAACAAAAACTTTATAATCAGTGATTTCTCTTCTAATGCTAAACCAAACCAAAAATGAAACTCACTGTTGTTGAGTTGATTTGACTCATAGCGACCCCTCCTTGGGTTTCCAAGGCAGTATCTCTACGGAAGTAGATTGCCCAATCTTCTTTCCAAGAAGCAGCTGGTGGGTTTGAAGCGCCAGCCTTTTGGTTACCAGTCAAATGCCTTAGGCACTATGCCACCAGAGCTGTACTTCCTTTTAAAAATATACAATACAGTATTGTAATCAATAGAAGCCCTCCTAGCACAGTGGTTAAAGCACTTGCCTGCTAATGTAAAGGTTGTCGGTTCAAATCCATGAGCGGTTCCACAAGAGTGAGATGTGGTACTCTGAGTCCCTAAAGATTTAAAGACTTGTACACCCCATGGAGTAGTTCTATTTTGTCCAAAGGGTTGCTATGAGTCAGAATTGACTCAACAGCAAGTTTTATTGTAATCAATATTGTATGTAATAAAGAATTCTGCTCAGGAGTAACCATAATAAGGAAAATTAAAAATTAGTCTTTTGAAAGTACTAAATCAAGTATCAAAAAGAATTCATCACTCTAAATGATCCAACATTACAAAAACTTTTTACTTGCTACTAATCTATTTTCTGGAAAGACTAAAATTAGATGAAGCAAATCCATGAAAACTGAGCTACATCCAAGTGGCCATATGTGATTACAGCAATAAGACAGCTGGCTATCTCACACACATAATCAGGCTTCCAGATAGGCTTAACACATAGATCTGCAGCCAAAGTGATTTTAGGGCCCTTGACACTGTCCCAAATACCTGCTTTGGCCTGATGCTGACATGGGAGCTTCTTCCTAGGCTGACACTAGAGATTTGTATTGGCATTTCAAAAGGCAGGGGTAACCCTACTTGTTCATTTGGCATACTTATCACCTAGTCTATTTAGAAAGGCTGAGACGTCTGAGGAGCCAGCCAAAGGGCCCAACTTAACCCTTGTGACCACAGTATCAAAGTATCAAAGAGGAATAGGAGTGCCAGCAGCATTCTGGTTTTTCTATCAATTTCTTGACTTAAAAGTAGGGAAACACTAGTCATCAGTTACTGTGGGTCTGTTTGAAATGCCAAGAAATCATGGCTGTGACAGTTTCATAAGAAAATACCCTCATTGTATGACATAAAACAACTACCTTTACTTTCTACATGCTACATACATTTCAATGTTGGAAATTAGCTGAATGTTTCTGGACAATTTTGTATAGTCTCAAAATTTTTAGCCCTAAGAATTTGGTGAGTAGTTAATATACCTTTCATATTGCCTTTTGAACTAGCCTAACTAAGCATAAGATTACTAAAACTTTCAAAACAAGTTGAAAGATAAGACTTTTAATTTGGTATGCTTAATGGACAAAGTTCTTATGAGTAGGCAAATAGGCTTGGTTATGTTTTTTTCTCCCACTTCAGTTTTATGTCCACTATAACTCTCTTAACAAACTATGGTGCCACAGTGTCTAAGGCACTTGACTGCTAACCAGAAGGTTGGTGGTTCAAACCTACCAGCCACTTCATGGAAGGAAGATGGCGCAATCTACTTATGTAAAGATTCACCACCTCAGAAACCCAATAGGGGTCACTATGAATTCCAATCAACTCAACAGCAATGAGTCTGGTTTGGTTTTTCAGATAACTCTCTTGGATGAATGCTGCACAACACTGTTAAGACTAGGCTCACTGTATTAGAGCACCTAGAAGAAATCGCATACATTAAGTGTGCAATTATTTTTTCAGATACACACACAAAAAAACATAATAACTCTGTTCTCTTCATAAATTAACGACAAACCCATAATAACCTATGAAGGCTATTTTACTAGGTGCTAAATAATTCTTATGTCCTATCTATACCCTTGTATTAATTATTCACATTCTTTTTAAAAGTCTTCTATGGACAGAAAGCTATAACTCCTTCTCTTGAAGTTTGGCTGTATCACGTAAGTATTAACCAGTTTTAGGCAATTCATCCCTAGCTGCTTTTCTCTGATGAGTGGTCTTCACAAATCTGAGCAGATTGATGATGGCAGCAGGTGTTACTCCAGGTATACGACTAGCAGCCCCAATCTAAGAGTTAAAACCAGAAGAGAAACATAAGTGACCTATGTCAAATCAAATCAAATCAAATTAATTTTTCTCCTAATAACAACCTGTATAATGCAGTTTATAAAATATTTTCACAGCTATTATCTTAAAGACTGTTGAAAATAACCCTAGTTAAGTAGATAAGGAAAATGTGATTATTATTTATGAACTTGTTTTTAAAATGGTGAAAGTGAGGCTTAGGGAAGTTAAAATTACTTGTCCAAGATCACGCAACTAACAGATGTATCTAGTTTTTCTTTTCATTAAACTAAGTAGAGCTCCTCCCTTCAAATAAGGACTATAGTCCCTTATCTGAAATCCCTGAAGCATAGGCATTGTAATGAGGTGCATATATTGTACATTATGGAACACCCCCAGAGACGTATGGGGTAAAACCCTGTAACTAATTTCATTAGTATTTTTGTGGTATATTTTTACAGTGAAATATACAAGTATTTGCAACACATGGGTCATGTTAGTTCAGGTCAGTTTTGCTACCAAGTAAGTTTGTGGCAAACTTGTCAGAGTTTTTTGTCTTCTGGAACTGTGGATAAGGAGATGGTGAGCTCCTAAGACAGCATAGTCCAACTGGACTTTCTGCAATGATAGATGTTTGTAGTAACATCTGTGCTGTAACCATGTATTTGTCTAGTATGGTGGTAACTGAAGAGCTGAAATTTAAATTTTATTTAATGTAATCGGGCATATTTAGCTTGTAGCTCCTTTACTGAACAGTACAGTCTATGACTAGTCATAAAAACATAACCTAAAATGAATAGTGTAGACAGAGCTACATAACTTAAGGCCTACCTGCCTGGTTCTCATGATGCCAGTTGCTAAAAATATCATGTTATAGCGATGAAAGTACTCTTCCCTTTAAAAATTCATTTTTTCACATTTCTTAACATACCATATTTTTTAAAATACCTCAATATGTTATGAACCACTACTTAAAAAACACTGCTTATTAAACAATGACACACCATCAATTTTTAAGATATAGCCCAATTTTAGAGATGTTAAAATGTAAAAAAATGTACATTTCAGGATCAATAAGATGCAGTTTACCAGTCTTTAAATATTCTGTACCAGAAGCTCATTGCTATATTCTATATAATAAAGTTTTTTCATTTCTGTGTGTGCATGAGTTCACGCATACTTGTGCCCATGTGCACATGCACATACTGAAGCACGTTTTTATGGCTGAAGCATGAAGTGGCAGACCTCTTTGGTGCCACTCTTCCTCTCAGCAGTTCCCAAGGCAACACTACTGAACTCCCAGGGAAGGTCCAAATAGTGATTTAAAAGTCACTAATATATATTATAAAGAGCTCTGGTGGCGTAGGGCCTAAGGCATTTGATCACCAACCAGAAGATTGGTGGTTAAAACCCAACAGCCACTCTGTGGAAGGAAGACTAGGCAATCTACTTCCATAAAGATTTACTGCCTCGGAAACCCAGTGAGGGTTCCTGTGAGTCAGAGTCACCTCAATGGCAATGAGTTTTGTTTGTTTGGATATGTTATATTTTAACCTAGTATCGTTTCTTTTAAGCCATACATATGTACTAGTTTACACTGATGATTTAGCACGTGGTTGGGACTAGAGAATTTTTACAATCAAACTAATTATTGATTTCCAGTTACTTATTTAGACTAAGCTTTATTATCTCTCACTTGACGGCAGTGAGTTGGTATTTTTTTTTTTTTTTTTGGTTATAGAGATACATGAAAACAGGTTTTTATGATGAAATAAAACATCACTTATGGATCTTTCTAATCCAAAGCTTAAAAAAACTAAAACACTGCCTCTTCCTTCAGTTATAATCTATTGCTATTCCTCTGTTTTCTTACCGTCTGTGGGCGACTGAAATGTAATTTCTCTCGAGCTTCATGTGACAAAGAAATATCCCTGAGAGTCAAATAATCTAAGTCTTTTGGCAGCTGGAGGGCTTCCTCTCGCTGAACTTCCTCTATTTCTTGTTGCTGATGGAACAATGCTGATTCATAAGTGGCTGGTGAACAAAATTAGAATTATGATCCTCAGATTATATTAAGAATTTACATTTACATAGCCTTTTACACAATTTACAAAGAGCTTTCACATGTATTATCTCATTTAATAGTCATCTCAACGCCAAGAGATAGGTGCAGTAGATGTTCCCTTCCACAGATGAGGAAACCGACATTAAGGTAAAGAGAGGGAGTATCTTACTAACTACAGCATTCTGACTGGTAGTTTAGTACATGTTGTTTTCATTTCAAATATCCGGAAAATTAAAATTAAAAAAAAAAAATGAGCTTTCTCTTTTTGTGAAAATTTTGGTTGGATCATTTCCTTCATAAACTGGGTTTGAATTTTAGGCCCTCAAAACAAGATGTTTCTCCAAGAAAATGGTTTTCTGAATTAGATCCATATAAAGCTATACGTTTTTCAAAGTAGAGCCTTTAAGTTGACAATGCATACTACTTATTTTCAGTTAAGGCTATATTCAGGAATCATATTAGAAAGACAATACAACAATTAATTTGTAACAAAAGCATTCTGTTCTTAGGGAAAAAAAGAAAACAAAAAAACTACCCCTGTGGTCATATTCTCTCCTGTTGAAGAACACAAGTTCTTTCTAAAGGTTTTGGTAGCATCTGTTTCCATCACTTCACTGGCAACTAAGAAGTCCCAGCTCTGGGCCTGATTCCACCAATGAATTACTAGTCTCTGATTGTGGGAGTACCATTATCCTTCTGAGCCTCAGCTTCTTTACATAGAAATTGCAAGGGCCAGCCTGGATGACTTCTAAGGATCTTTATGGTAACAAAGAGTGCTCAGTCTTTGTAGTTCAAAAACCTATGTTCAAATCCAAGCTCTGTAACTCACTAATTGTGTGATCTTGGGCAAACTATCACTTACCTGTAAAATTAGAATAATAACGCTAATACCTAGTTCTAAGTATCAAACGAAATCATACAAAAAGGGCTTTATACAATATCTGGCACATCTCAATAAATGTTAATGTTCAGTAATTGTTTTAAATACAATTTCATGACTCATAAATGGACTCTTCAGGGTATGAGAATATAGATTAGGAACTAATACATACCTTGAGTGACTATTTATTTAATCTCTCAAACAGAGAGATAATAGAGTAAAATACAAGAGATGACACAAAGAAGAATCTGACATTGATTTCTGTCTTCAAACAGCTTGTTGTCTAGTAAGGGGATCCAAATAGTGATTTATATTATTTTAACCTAGGAAGTTTCTTTTAAGTCATGGTTATATACTAAGTCTTTATGTAAAAAGTCTTAAAGAACTAGACAAAACAGTAGCTACTCCATGGTCTGGGTTTCCTAGAAACAATTTAAAGGTAATTGTTCTGAATTATTCTAATCAGAATTTAGTGATTTAGCAAAAAAAAAAAAAAAGAAAGTAAAATTGCAAAATTTAAAATCATTTAATCACCTTTTCCAGGTGCTAACTTCTTTAAATGTTCAAGAAAGCAATTTTTACTCAATAAAGAAATCATGATATTGAAATAAAAGGTCAATATTACTTCTTATATATTAGAACACTACTAGAGTTTAGTCAGCTAACTGGTGGAAGAATTATTCCAGTGAGTTTCCCTTCATTGCTGGACTTTTGTAAACTTGAGTGGTACAACAGTAGTAGCACTTGGATCTTCTATTCAGGCTAAAGCACAGCAGTGTGATGGACCTCTGTGGAAATGACAAAATGGGCCAATGCTAGAAGGAACACAACATTCTCACAACCTTGGCCAGTGCCTACGGAGCTTAAAATCATTTCCTATTTAAACAGCACATCATCATCCAACTTCTTCTACACTTATCCTCCAATCTCCTGTTCAGTTCCTTTTTCACCACATAATTTTCTAACCCAGAAGAAAATACCTTCTGTCAAAATGAAGACATTCATTTATTCTTGTTTTGTTTATGTCTGAAAATTTTCATGGAAAACTATTTAGTGTTTATGGTGATGGGAAATTAGGCAACAATTACGGTTGGTAACTGTACAACATCATTAATATAACTGATACCACTAAATTATACACTGGAAAAATGTTGAATTAACAAATGTTCTCACTCAAAAAAACTCTCTGCCACAAATCTCATGTTACAGATATTTTCACAACTGAAAAAAAAAATACAGTGTACTCATACATCTATGGCCACTGGGTCTTTGACAGAGTGTCAAGTCTATTCAGTCTATGGGGAGAAAAAGTCTCTTCAACAAATGGTATGGGGAAAACTGAATTTCTACATGCAAAATAATAAAGTTAGAACCCCTACTTCACACTATATATAAAAAAAAATTAACTCACAGTGGATCGACCTAAATATAGGAACTAAAACCATAAAACTCTTAGACGAAAACATAGGGGTTTTGACCTTGGATTTGCAATGGATTCTTAGTTACAACACAAAAGCATGAGCAACAAAAGGAAAAACAGAGAAACCAGACTTCACCAAAATTAAAAACTTCTGTGCATCAAAGGACATTATCAAGAAAGTGAAAAGACCACATATAGAATGGGAGAAAACATTTGGAAATAGTTTATCTGATAAGGGTTTAAAATCCAGAATATGTAAATAACTCCCCAAACTCAACTACAAAAAGGCAGACAAACCCCAATTAGAAGACGAGTGATGGAACAGACATTTGAATAGACATTATTTTCAAAGAAGAAATCCAAGCAGCCAAAAGCATATGAAAAGATGGTTAACATCACTGGTCATTACAGAAATAACTACAATCATTTCAAATCAAAACCATGATGAGATACCACTTCATACCCACTAGGATGGACTATGATTTTAAAAATTAAGTATTATAACAAATACTGGTGAGGATGTAGAGAAACCGGAGCCTTTATGCATTGCTGGTGGAACATAAAATGGTGTAGCTGCTATGGAAGACAGTTTAGCAGTTCCACAAAACAATTAAACATAAAATTACCATAAAAAAAAACTGTCATCAAGTTCAATTCAATCCATAGCGACTCCCTTTGGGTTTCCAAGGTGGTAAATTTTTACAGAAGTAGATTGCCCAGTCTTCCTTCTGCAGAGTGGCTGGTGGGTTTGAACCACCAAGCTTCTGGTTAACAGTCAAATGCCTTAGGTGCTAAGCCACCAGAGCTCCTTAAAATTACCATATGACCTACTAATACCATTCCTGAATATATATCCAAAAGACTTGGAAACAATTATCAAATAGACAACTTGGACACCAACATTCATTCCAATATTATTTACAATAGTGAAAAGGTGGAAATAACCCAAGTGTCCTTCAACAGATGAATGGTAAACAAAATGTGGTATATATGTACAATGGAATATTATTCAGCCATAAAGAAAAATGAAGTTCTGATTCATGCTATCACATGGATGAACCTTAAAAACATTGTCCTGAGTGAAGTACAAAAGAACAAATATTGTACAATCTCATTTACCTGAAATATCTGGAAGAGGCAAATGTATAATAGAGACCACAGAAGAATAGTAGTTACCAGGATCTGGGGGAAGGAGGAATGGACATTTACTGCTTAATAGGGACTGAGTTTCTGTTTGTAGGGATGAAAAAGTTTTGGAGACAGTGGGATGGCTGCATAACATTGTAAATGTAATTAATGTCATTGAATCGTACACCAAAAAAATGGCCAAAATGGCAAATTCTGTTACATGTATTTTACTACAAAATTTTTTTTAAAATGCAATGAAACTACAAATGACATCTGTGGTCAATCAGCTGATGAAGTGTAAGAGAGCACATCATGCGTTATCATGACATATGGAGGCAGACTCTAGGTTTCTGTGCCTGATACAAACTAAGGATTTGTCAAAGGCAGGGTATTCCCACATACTGCCAAGCCAACGATACTATTTTTCTCATTATGAAAACACTGGATGAGGAAAATGCAAAAAGGAAGTTCAAGGAAAAAAAAGTAAGTTTTTTTGAAAAGGAGACCACTACAGCAGCACATCCCAAAACCGAAGTTTACATATTACCATATGACCTACTAATTCCTGGGGATTTTGTTAATAATGCAGATTCTTATTCAGTGAGTCTGTGGTAGGGCCTGAAATTCCGCATTTCTAACAAACTCCCAAGTGTTGCAACATTGCTAGTCCAGTAACCATACTTTTCAGCCTAAGATTGTTGTTGTTGTTATGTGCCGTCGAGTCAGCCCTGACTCATAGCGACCCCTCCTTGGGTTTCCGAGGCAGTATCACTACGGAAATAGGATTGCCCAACCTTCCTTCTGGTAATAATTGGAAGGAAGATGGGCAATCTACTTCCATAAAGACTTACCACCTTAAAAACCCAATGGGGGTCACTCTGAGTTGGAATTGACTCAATGGTAGTGGGTTTGGTTTTAGTTATGGTACTAATGGCTCCTCTTGGCATAGAGCTCCAAATGGATCTGCTGTCCACTCACAATTTGCACAAATGGAAAAGAGGACACATAGGCATCTAAGTGAAAAAGTATTTTCTACCTTCTATTTTCAGTCTTTCAGCCAGCTCTCTATCTTCAGTGTACTTCTTCAAGGGCTCTGGAACAGCCTTGGCTAATAACTCCATGTCAACGTCTTCATATTTCAAAACATCTAGAGCACTGCAAACACAAAAAAATTTCATTAACATAAGGGTCCATAATATATAAGGCAGATTAAGAACAAGATTCCTCAAAAATAGTATCAAATCTCAGAATAAATAATATCAAGATATTTCTGAGTACAATAAGCAAATGTTACAGTATCCACAAAACAGAACTTCAATAAGATTTAATGTAAAATTCTCCCCAATACTCTTCCATTATTAGAAGTTGTTAGCAAAGGTGTCATAGATATAATCCAGTTCTACTTCCTCTTTTGTAAGGGCAGAATATCCTTGGATGACGTGGGTCTGATCCCACTTCCCAAGAATAAGGGAATATATTTTTCACATACAGGGTCCTGTGAATGAGAGTTCTGTTGCACGCTGGGAACCAGCTGAAGGAGATCTCTTGGTTTCTTTTGCCAATCTCCTTAAGCAAGAATAAGAGGCTATTGTGAGCATACGAACATTGTGAGTCTGCAAAACAAACTGATGAAATGATAGAGGTTCATATGTGTTCTTCCACTCTCATATGTTCTCCTAATTTGGTATAATCTCCATTCCAATTTTTACTGTTTGGAAACTTTTTTCTTTTTATTAACTTTTTATTGTGATTTTGCTGAAATTTTACAGAGCAGATTTGTTTTCCATTCAACAATTCATATATACATTTTGTCTTGTGACACTGATTATGATCCCCACAATGTAACAGCTCTCTTCCCACTTCCTCCCCATGGCCACCCTTTCCCTGTGTCCTTCCTGCATATGCACTCTTGCCTCCCTACTTTTCTTCCTGTGCAAATGCTGCCCTTCTGATCTCCCATGATTGACTGTTCTAAAGACTGCATCTTCCTGGTAACTGTTCAGCCCGTAGGCCTGTCCATTGTTTGGCTGAGCGTTAAGCCATCAGAGTGAGTTCAATTCCAGGCCCAAAGGATGATTACTGGCCATAGTCTCAGGAGTTTCACCTGTCTCTATATGACCAGGAATCCTGGTCTTTTTTATGATTTTAAATTTTATTCCAGTTTCACCCATTCGATTCAAAATCTCCAATTTTGATCCTTTTCTGAGTGGTTGGCATTAGTAATTGGCTACTATCTAATTCTTCTGGTCTCAAGGTTATGTAGGCTGAGGTTCCCATCATCCACTAGTCCCTTGGACTAATTGTTTCCACACCTCTTTGGTTTTCTTTGGGAGCTCTGGTGGCGTAGTGCTCTTCTTTGCTCCGGATGAGGAGAGACCAATGGTTGTATCTTAGATGGCCACTCCCAAGCTTTTTTTTTTTTTTTTTTTTAATTTTTATTGTGATTTGGATGAAAGTTTACAGAGCAAACTCATTTTCCATATAGCACCTCATACACACTTTGTCTCATGACATTGACTGCAATTTCCCACAATGCAACAGCTCTCTTCCCACTTCCTCCTCATAGCTACCTCTTCCCTGTGTCCTTCCCTCCCATGTACTCCTGCCCCGAGCTGTCTCTCTGTGCAAACACAGCTTTTCTATTCTCCCATCCACTCCCGAGCTTGTAAGACCCCAGTCACTGCTTATCAAAGTAGGCTGTAGAACTATGTATTTGTGAACTATGTTGTGCCAATTAAGCTTGATGGACCCCATGACCATGGTCCTGAGCCCATAGGCCCAGCATAAAGTCTAGACTCTTTAACAGGCCCTTGCAAACTTCTCTTTTCTCCTTGCCCTCCCTTCTTTGAATTTGTCTCTCCAAACTCTGAATTTGTTTCAGTTCCTCAGAGACACCAACTTGTCATTCTACTTCTGAACCCTGGCACATGCTATTCCCATTGACTAGATCACTTTCCCACCATCTCCCCAACCCTTACCATATTTCTTTTCCAGCTTATTTTTACTCATCTTAGACATTGCTTCTGCTTTCTCCTATCCATCAAGACTGGGGTAAATACCCTGGTCTCTGCATCCACAACTGCCCTGTCCTTCCTCTTTTTTAATACTCAGAGCATTTGGAATTATCGGGCAGTCTACTTCCATTGAGATACTGCCTTGGAAACCCAAGGAGGGGTCACTATGAGTTGGAATCAACTCAACGGCAGTGAGTTTGGTTTGGTTTTATGATAAGAAAATGAATGAATTTTTTAAAAATCATCTTGTTGGCTGCTTTCAGGTTCAGGTCATTAAAGCATAATTTTCTGATCAAATATTGCATTCACTGAAGACAGGCCATTTCATCAATATCCAAACTGACTGCTCTTAATTCCAACTCACAGCAACCCCATAGAACAGGGTATCCCCATAGGGCTTCCAAGGCTGTCAATCTTTATGGAAGCAGACTGCTACAACCTTCTCCCTCAGAGTAGCTGGTGGGTTCAAACTGGCAACTGTTCAGCCAGCAGCCAAGTGCTTAACCATGGCAATACCTGGGCTCCTTCACTAATTATCAGCACCTCTTTAATTAGTACCAGTTGGCAAAATCATAATTATAATCATAAAAAATATATCTACAAGTCATGAGTTAAAAATAAAAAACAATTATTTATCTGCAGAGATAGTTGTACAGAGAAAAATCTCAGAAAGATTTTTTAAAATTGCTTTGAGCTTTTATCCGGGGCTAAGCACAGATGTTCATCAGAAGTTGAAGAAATGGGAATGACTTTAACGGGGTGCCTAAATCCATTGCCAGTTGATTCTGACTCAAAGCAATCCTATAGGATAGACTAGAACTGACTCATAGGATTAAAGGAGGTGTGGTGGCACTGTGGTTAAATGCTCAGCTGCTAATCAAAAGGTCAATGGTCCAAACCCACCAGTCACTCTGCAGAAGAAAGATGTAGAAGTATGCCTCCACAAAGATTACAGCCTTGAAACCCCTACGAGGCAGCAGTGGCATCACTAGGGCTGGTGCCACCCAATGTGATAACTCATGATGTCATCCTCCCCTCCCCCATGGATCTACCTCAGGTAAATGTTCAACTCATATGCATGTCTTTTGTTTGGCTGGAAGCCACAGGTGTGGGTTCAATTCCAGACCTGAAGGGCAGCTAGGGGCCACAGTCTCAGTGGTTCCACCAGGCTCTATCGGACCAGCAACCCTGGTCTACCCTCTTTTTTTTTTTCCTAAATGATTTTGAATTTTGTTCCACATTGTTCTCCTTCTCTATCCAGGATCTCCTACACAGATCCCCCTCCGAGTGGCTGACAGTGGTAGCCAGGCACCACCTAGTTCTTCTGGTCTCACAGTCGTATAGGCTGCGGATCACATGGTATACCAGTAGCTAAGACTAATTGTTTCCATGTATCTTTGGTTTTCTTCATTCTTCTTTGCTCTGGATGAGGAGAGACCCATTGCTGTATCTAGATAGCAGCTTGCAAGCTTTTAAGCTCCCAGTCGCTACTCGCCAAAGTAGGTGGTGGAACAATGTTTTGTGTAGTATGTTATGCCAATTGAGCTTGATGTCCCTTGTGACTATGGTCCCAAGCCTACTAGTTCAACTACTTGGTCCCTCTGGGTAGCTGGCTGTGACCAAGAAGTGACTACAACCTTGTCCCTTGTCAGCTCTACTATACACCTGGGAATTCTTACAGATCATACCAATACACTTATAGGACCATTGTCTGCCAACCCTATACATGGTCTTGGGTACACTCCTTGCTTCATAGACATACCTAATAGTTCAGCTTGTCCACCCATCTATATCCACCCTTATACAAAATGGGTGTATTTTTAAGTTCACAAAAACCATCATAAGTTATGATGAGTTTAAAAAGAAAAAAATATACTGGAGACACAGTTGCAAGAGCAGTGTCACCATGTGCCTCTAAGCTATAATGATGGTAGATTTACATTCCCTGAGTTCCCCCTCTGACCCTAATTAGTTTACATTTTTCACTTGGGAAAAATTACTGGTGAAATACGCAGATTTTGAATTATGCAAGGTCCTCAGGAGTGTCCCTGTAGAGGAAAATGGGAATGCTCTATACTAAGGAGCTTCAGATGGAGAATCCATAAAACTGAAATGACAAAATCAAGGACCAAAAAAACTAAAATGCAGGAAGCAACTTTTCAGGTAAGTCCAAAGAATCTGCTTTATTTGATCAAAGATGTTTCCTTACAATCAGTCTAAAGATATAATGGACCTCAAGAACAGAAGAAGTAGACGGTACCTGGCTACCAATGCCAACCACTCGGGAAGGGATCAAAACTGGAGATCTTAGATAGAGTGGGAAGAATAATGTGGAACAAAACTCAAAAACGCAATAATGATTAGAATTACTGGTCGGATGGAGTCTGGTGGGACCGCCAAGACCATGGTCCTGGGATACCCTTAGGACCTGGAATAGAAGACTTGCTCCTAGGGTCTGGATCTCAGCCCAACAGTAGAAAGACTTACATGCAGAACACCCAACCCAGGGCAATGCATCCACCTACTCTATGGAGTACCCTCTTTGGAGCAATCGGCCATGGGGCACCAGAGGGGCAGCATTCATATGGAGGGAAAGCTGGACAGACAGGAGTTCACAGTTAAGAAGGTCATGGGGGGGGGGGTCACAGGGAAGGGAGAGGAGGAAAGAGGGTTGGGGCTGGACATGGTAATCGGAGCATGAAATCAAATGTACATGAACTGCTGAATGGGAAACAAATTCTGCTCTGTAAACTTACACCCAAATCACACACACACACACACACACAGATGTTTCCTTGCTATAACTCATGGAGAAGATGAGTCCACTCCAATTGCTCTATGCCTGGAATAGAAGGATCACTTGGTTTGGGCCCTCTAACTCACTCTTAGGTAAGAACTCAGTGGGAGCCAGAGAGAAATTATGCTCAAAGCATTTCTATTAAATTTATTCTGGAGGAAAAAAAAAAAAGAGCTGTGGTAAATTCCATTTATGAGTCTTAGGTTTAGCTATTAGGGGAAAAAAGCAGCAAACACAAATTGTGGAACACAGTCAGACTGTGGAGCAAAGATATCCTCTAATGACCTGATGAGCCATTTTATTTTCCCTACCCTTTCATATTTTGTAGCTCCCAAAAGGCTCCT